CCCCCCCCCCCCCCGGGCTCGTTGCGGAGCCCCCGAAAGCCGGGATTTGGGGGGCAAACAATGAGGCCGTGGTTGGCCCGAGGGTGCGGGCAGCCCGGCAGCTGGCGCATTCCGCCCCCGCTCCCCCCGCAGGACCTACCCCCGCCCGCACGAGTCCCTGGGGGCGGCGGCGCTGCCCCGCAGCTGGGACTGGAGGAACGTGAACGGCGTCAACTTCGCCAGCACCACCCGGAACCAGCACATCCCCCGGTACTGCGGGTCCTGCTGGGCTCACGGCAGCACCAGCGCCCTGGCAGGTACGGCCCGGCGACCCGCACGGCCCCCCCGTCCCCGGTAACCGACAGAGCACAGCCCGGCGGGGGCGGTGTGAAGGCGGCGGGGATGCCCCGGCTGAGGGCGAGGGGGTTTGGTTTGGACAGAGCCGGCCGTGGCTGCGGCCATCGCCCCCCCCGCGGGACGGCGGCTCCAGCGCTGTGCGGGAACGCAGCCCCTGCCCGACCGCCCCGTGGGGCCGGGGTGGGAAGGGGGGTTCCTGCCCCGCGGGGAGGTGCGGGGGTGGCAGCAGCAGACGTGAGAGCAGTTACCCCATCCCCTTCCCCTGTGCGGTACCTGGGCACGGACCGGGCTGGGGGGAAGCCAGAGACACCGGCGCTGGGGGGAAGAGCCGCGGGGTCACAGCAGAGAGCTCTGTCTGTCTCCTGCGAAAAGGGAAGCCGGGGGTCACTCCAGCTGGAGAAACATCTTCTCTAGAGGGGATGTCACTGATTTGCCTCCTGTGAGGAGAGGAACCATGGAGGAGAAATTGAGGAAACTGCAGGAGTGGGAATGCAGGGCAGGTGTGAGCAGGCAGCAGGAGGGCAGAGGACCTGCTCTTAAGCACTGCAAGAATATAGACATGGAAGAACTAGGACAGGTAAAATACTAATTTGTGTAATTTTGGTTAAAGCTTAATTGCATCCATAGGTATGCCAATATGGGCATAAGTATAAAAGGTTGACTTTAAAAGTGTATCTTTTCTGAACTGCTGTGCCTAAATTGCTCATCCCTTCTCTCCTTGGGGGAAGAGGGGCTGGGATAACACCCCCCCGTCCCGCTGAGTACAGGGGAGCCTTGTTAGTGCTAATGGGATTAAAAGCACCACAGTGCATCAGTTAAGACACTTAATGCAGAGGGAGCAGCAGTTTATAAATACTCACAGGAAGCTTTTCAGCCGAGTAAGCTGGTCCTTTCTGACAAAATAAGGCAGCAAAGCGGCGTTGCCCGTCCAAGATGGCAGGTAACAGTGACACGGTGACTCACCAGTGAGGGTACACTTCGGAAAGCTTTTCCTTGCTTTAAGTTTGGGAAGATGCTGTCTCACAGCCAGAGACTGGGCTGCGGGGGTTGTGAGTCCCTGCGTGGGTTTATGCATGAACCCACACTCCTGCAGAAGAGGCTGGCGAGGGCTGGCTTTAGCGTGTGCATTTGAAAACTCTTTGCTGTCAGAGCCAGAAACAGATCTGGAAGGTTTCAGAAGCTGCGACGTGAATTAGAAGAGGTTCAGAGCACTTCAAGACTTTAAACAAATCTGACTGTTTAGTCATACACAGGTATTGTTGCTGAGTTTTTAGTGAGAAGAGCTTCTAATGGAAGCACACACTAATACCCCAGCCTGCTGGTTTGAGCTGGGGGCAGGGGCGTTTCCAGCCACAAGGACTGGTGCCTGCAGACAGTTACCGGTTCAGCGGAGGAGAGACAGGTTTAACACTTGTTCAGGGTGTAACCACCCACGTCTTCCACTGACATAACCCCGTTTCTTGTCCTCACAGATCGGATCAACATAAAGAGGAAAGGTGCGTGGCCATCCGCCTACCTCTCCGTTCAGAACGTGATCGACTGCGCGGACGCGGGGTCCTGCGAGGGTGGGGACCACGCCGGCGTCTGGAAATACGCGCACGACCACGGCATCCCCGATGAGACGTGCAACAACTACCAGGCTAAGGATCAGAGTATGATGCCTGTTTGCTTTGCTGTCAGGCCTCAGTCCAGGTTTAGCAGATCTTACTAGGAAAAAAAAAAAAATGTAGTTTTTTGGGTTTTCCATGTACTGGTGGTTCCCTGCTGTTTGACCGACAGAACAAGTTTTCTGTACAGGCCTGTCTCTCTCTACTCCAGCCCGACAGCAGAGCATTAAATCATGCCCAGACAAGTTTGCACAGCTAAATTGTTTTAACTTAATCTCTTCAATCTGTGATATACAATCTCTGATGTACTGAAACATTTACAGGTGTCACATTAGCTAAACAAAGGAGAAATGTAACTTTTGTCTGGTCACATATGACTGGAAGTTTCTGTATCTGGAGAACTGAAACACTTCCTCATCGAAGCACTCATCTAAGAAATAAAGAATAGTAACGACTGTAGGGACTTTGAATGTGGTTCCAGAAAGAGTATGTATCAGTCATTAGTCTTAAGTTATTAATAAATCTGCCTCAATAAAAAAAAACAAACCCAACCAAAAAAAACAGCTTAGTGTCACATCATTAATTCACTTGAAGATGAGCATTCCCTTGCAGTGATAATCTCACTTTTGTTTTGTAGAGTGCAAGAAGTTTAACCAGTGTGGAACCTGCGTCACATTTGGAGAATGCCACGTGATAAAGAACTACACTCTCTGGAAAGTTGCTGACTATGGGTCTGTCAGTGGGAGAGAAAAGATGATGGCAGAAATCTATACTAATGGACCAATCAGGTAAAAAAAAAAACAAAAAAACCAACAACACAAAACCAACCTGATAACCTTGAATGGTAAAAAAGATGTTTATCTACTCGTGCTACAGGAATTGAAATCCCCAAGACTCAGTCTGGGGCCTGAGGTGTACGTCTCCGCTCTGGCCTAGGTTGGCAGCTCTGCGCCGACACGCAGACTTCAGCTTGTTTGTCAGTAAATTGACCTCTGAAGTCAAAATGCAAGGAAGCCAGTAGGTTTTTAGCCAGGCCCTTGCCCTGATCCTCTTGTATAAAAACCACTTTCTGTGTTTTATTACAGCTGTGGCATAATGGCTACTGAGAAGCTGGATGCCTACACGGGAGGGCTCTACTCCGAGTACAACCCCTCGCCCGTGGTGAACCACATCGTATCCGTGGCTGGCTGGGGAGTGGAGAATGGCACAGAGTATTGGATTGTTCGTAACTCCTGGGGAGAACCCTGGGTAAGGAAATGTGGGAACAAGTAGGTTTGCACACTCTGGCCTTTAGAGGAAAGGTGGGGTCTTTCACCTGCCAAGAGTTAGCCTGTGGGTAAGAAATGTAAAACTTTGAGCTAGACTAGCCCAACAATGAAACTGATCTAAAGAGAAGGATATTCAGGCAAAGTTACTTGAGTAATGGCAACTGAATCCCAAATATCTTCGCTGACATGCAGCTCCTCTTATGGGCAACTGTAAATTACGGTTAGTTGTAGGCAAAAATCCAAGTCACACCTGGAATGGAGGAGGGGGATGTGAACTCACCGGAGCAGACTGTCCCCAGGGACCCAGCGTTAAACAGCAGCACCAGTGAATTCCCAGATTCACCTGGAAGCCATTCATATTTGGGTGGCAGAACAGCCTCAACAGCTTACATTTTCCATAGTTGTGTTTTCTAACTCACAATGCAAATTCATTCTTTACAGGGTGAAAGAGGGTGGCTGAGAATTGTGACAAGTGCATATAAAGGTGGAAGAGGAGGAGAGTACAATCTTGCTATTGAAGAGGACTGTGCGTATGGAGATCCCATAGTTCCTTGATGCCATATTGTACCTCTTGTCTGGTTAGGAACCACGTGGTTTGGACGCTTCCCAGCACAACCTTTTTCTGTTTAAGGAGTAGTTGTCTAAAACACCTTCACAGTTCCACACCATCAGGCAGTTCTGCAAAATTAGCCCAGACAGCAATACAATGTCTTCAAAATAAAATAGAGCTGTCTTTAGATGATTTACAACTTAAAAAAAGCAATTTACCCATGAAAAAGTTGTCTGTCTTGACGCACAGTATTTAAATCACACAGTTTCTGTGACTAAGTCAGTATATGTAAATCCCTGTACATTTTTAAAATACAAGTTATGTAGACATACTGGGAAGGAAAAATTATACTCAATATTTGGGTCTAGAGCTTGTATTAAATTCTCTAACAGTATTGAGCAAGTATCGGCTCACAGTGGTGCAGATGAAAAACACAGAGCTAAGTTTGGACATGATATATCCAAAAAAATTAAATCTGTTGTTTTCTTGGCCTCCTGGTGAAGCATCATCGGTGGAAGTCTCAAAAAATGCAGTTGCTTTCGTCCAACCAAAATGATGTAACAGGAATTACTTGGATCAAGAGACACAGTCTAAACATTTCTTAGTTATTTAATTGATCTTGTCTTTGCTCAAATTCCTCGCTTTAATATGTGATTGATTGGCTGTGCTATTTTTCTCCTCAAGAGGGAACATATAAATTGCCACAAGCTAGACCTCTATCCGAATTTGAAGGTACCAAATTCTCTTCTTCCTTAAAACTGAGCCAGGTACTAAGTGGCAAATCAGTGCCATATCAAATGTTACTAACTAGACATTGTTAATTGCATTTAATAAATGGACTTTTTCTCTTACATGACTGTGTGCATTATAAGAGCTTATTAGTACAAGTTTGTGGTCATCTTCTAACAAGCTAACAAGCAGGCTCAGGTGGCAGCCCCAAATTGTTGTCCCTAACAAGCAGGCTCAGGTGGCAGCCCCAAAGCTCACCCAGGTGGTACTGCTTCTACTGGACTGTTTCTTGTGAAAGGCTTGGTTGACACCAGTCCATAACAGCAACTATGATGGCTTAGGCAACAACTGGAGTTACACACTACCTTTGCCCACGCTGGAGGTTGAGGTACAGGCTACAAGGAAGCATCCAACTTCAACAAGCAAGGGAGGGAGGAGACATTCAGCTGTTGGAGAAGGTGGCAGCGTGACAGTTCTGGTCACAGCATTGTGGCAGTTTCAACTAGTTAAAAATCACTTCTGGAGAGGAACTCAAGTGTTCAGAGGAAGTGACACCAAGCTTGAATGCAGAGAAAAGCAGAAGTGTACCTTGTTTAAACAAATGGCAGATTTGCAACAGACATGGGAACAAAGTGCTCTTGATTAGCACTAGACGCCGATACACAAGGCAGGGCTACAGCCTGAACTGGAGCTCTATAGTGCAAATTGTAATTAATTCCACAAAGAAAGGAAGTCAGGGCTACAAAAATTCAAAGCTGTATACTAATTCAACTTAAAATACTATGAGACGTAAGTCTCATGCAAGTTTAAATGGCGTGAATTGTTAGTGCATCTTCTAATCAAAGATATGCAAAGAAGTTCAGAACAGCTCCTGCAGAAGCAAGTTTTGCCCTTTCCAGGCTGTGCTTGAAGCTGATGAGAACACTGTGGTGTTACAGTGAGCTCTATTGCTGTGGAACGAGGGAAGATGCACTCCTATAAGGAGTTCAGAATCTACACCACTGGCTGCTGTTTAAAGAATTATCACAGTAGCTTAGAGTTCCCATTTGTGAATCACTAACAGAGAAGAACAAAGTTATTTCCTTTTTAAATTTACATCCAGTTGGACTTAAAATGTCACCATCTTTTAGACAGCAGGTTCTTCAGAAAACAGATGTGCTTGGAAAAGCACAATGGGCTTGTTCGTACTCCTCACTTGTAAACAAGCAGTATTTGCCCGTACCCAGGGAAATCCAGCCCAAGGGACAGAAAGGAAGAGGGGTCTGAATGAAACTTAGAAAGAAGTCTCTGGAAAAGAAAAACACCTTTATTTAAAGGTAAGTTATAATCTTGGGTGTATCTCCCGCTGGCATCAACCAGGACAGAGGAGAGGCAAGTATAAAAACCAAGCCACAACAAGCAGTACAGACGTTTCTGCACAGTCAGATTTTCAGAGAGGAACAGAATTTTGCCACGGTAATGAAACTTACCAGTAACACCTGATGCATCTATTTAACAAAAATAGATCCTTAACACACTCACATAGGATTCACCTGTTAATACAAAACTAGCCTTGATTGTTGCAACTCCACTTGCGTTACACAAAATGTTTTCTTCATAGCAGTAAATACGTAGGATATTTAGAACTCTAATAGGATGCAAGGGTGAGAAAGAGGCATTGAGGCTTCTCTGCAGCACAGAGCCAGCCACACTAATTCCTCCTTGTAAAAACCTAAAGCCTTCAAGATTTAGTCTTCAGAGAACTATCTGCAAAGTGGTTTTAGTAGGAACTCGCTTCCCCATTCTTCAGGTTTTGTGTATTACACAAAGTATCAGTGACAAATTCTGCAAGTAACCAAAATATCGGTCCTTGAAATAAATCTCTTTCTCTCCTGCTGTCCCCTTCAAAATATTCTGATTTGTGTAGCAACAGAAAATCCTTCAGTATTATTCCAAGTCCAGTACAATCCTCTGATATGAAGCTCAAGGTCACCACACAAGCCAATCAAATGCCGTTCTGCCCATTCTTCCTTTTCTGGGGTTTCTTGGTTTGTTTTTGTTGGGTTTTTCCTTTGCTGCTGTGAACATTACTGGTGGAGAGTATGGTGAAGTGGTCATCATGTGCTCTGCATTCTTGATATTTTCCACTGCTTAGTTCATCATAATAAAGTTAGATTTGCAGTGAGCTTAAAGAAAAAAAAAAGTGCTTAGTACATGACTGACTTATCTGTTTGCATGTGGGTTTTTGCTTTATGTAAATAATTAGGATTTTAGGGTCTGGACAGATGTTTTTGTGCTAGTTCTCAAAAAAAACAGTATTTGTCTTCAAGTTCCTTACTAGTACCTAGAGATTCTTGATTAAAGGAAACTTTCTAAACACAGACCCCCAGAAGGGAAGTTATCTGTGAAAATACCTGGCAGGTGTTCCTGTGTTTAGCAGTCCTTCTCCTAAACACCATTTGCAAATTGTAACAGATAGGAAAGGAAGCAGGTATAGAAGGAATAAACATGACTTACCTATAAACTCAGTGACAGGATCGTGTTCGCCTTCTGTTTTAATAGTACCTGCAATACTTTCATTTTCCAAGATGGGAAGAAAAAGCTGAACGAAGTCTGAGGTATATGGAGGAGCAATCACATCCAGCACCTGAAACAGCAGGCAAAACTGGATTATTCGTCCATTTAGAGGGGTAGCAGGGACAATATTTAATTCACAATGCTAGTCTTGAAAGCATACAACTAGTCACACTCAAGATCTCTTGTTCTCCATACAAGTAATCAATTATGTATCCTTGCAGTACTCCATCCAGTACCTTAATACTTTCAGGAGTCAGGAGGACTAAGTCACATCTAGCAAATACTGATATTACTTACAGGGCTCAGAATCTCATTTCATATCCTGAAATATTTCTGAACCTGAGGCAAGCTGATTTAATATCGAACACACACAACTGATATTAGAGTTAATTTCTATATGTTAGTAAACTACTGACCTCCGTAACAAAGTATCTGATGAGAGAGATATCAGTGTCCAGCTTCTCCAGGCACTTGCGGATGTAGCTGACGACGGGCAGGACGTATCCCCGGCTCAGTAAATGCACCATTCGATCCAACAGAGTCTTCTTCAGCTCCAGCTGGTGGGACGGGAAGGGAAGAACCCAGATTGGAACTCCTCTCACAAGTGTGCATTTTTTAGTGCTCATTCTTACTGACTCAGTAAGAATCTGTTATGTTCCTTTTTAACCACAACCATATTCCTAAATTAAACTCTGAAAACTGCTGTGAGAGCAAAAGCAGCCATCTTGAATAAGCGTAACGAATACAAATACCAAATCCTTTGAGAATCACCTGCTCCATCACATCAAGCTGCGAATGTTCTGTTTCGAAGAGCTTGACAAGGAGTTGCAGAACTTGGGGATGAAGCAGCTGATGGCACGTACTGATCTGCAAACAAGATGGGAAAGTCAGATCCTCACAACTTCAATCTAAAAACCAAAACTGGATTTTATCAGACAAGTTTACACCGATGTGCAGTGCCAGATGTAAATTCTTACAAAAAAAGTATTCTACCGTTTCTTTCTTTGATGCCTAAGTTTTCCTAGTGTAAATAATGCTGAGGTGACAAACCAAGTAATTTGAATAGAGAAAGATACATCCCTGTATATTTACTGAACTAAATGTACTTCCAGTTACAGGTGTCAAAACTGGTTTTACTCTCCAGCTAGATTTTATATATGCTTTTACCTCATCCAATAATGCCAGATGAACCGGGGTGTGATCAGTCTGCAGTTGGAAGTATCGTGGCTCTGACACTGTCCAGTCCACCCACTTTAATACACCCATTGCCACCACTGGGAACCTACAGAAAGAGAGATCACTTTAGCACAGGAGCATAAAAAACACACCCAAAACAACAACAACAAAAATTGTTTTCTGTTTGGTTTTGTTTTGGGTTTTTTGGGGTTTTTTTTTGGTTTTTTTTTTAAATCATCTTTCAGTCTATTGTAATGATTGCTAGAGTTTCAGTTCAACTTACAGCAGAATACATAAAGCTCAAAAGGTTCTGCTTGAGAAGCTGCCAGCACATCTAAAGTGCTTTGGATAGGCTGGAGGAAAACTCTTTCTACAAAACACTCCCTGCTATGCACAAAATGCAAAAAACAGGCAACAAAATTAATGTACACTCCAAGTTTGTTCCAGTTTATTCAATATCTTCCGTTTCATACTTTTAAGAGGAAAGGACACATCTATTGCTAGGAAACCTTCATTAGAAGACAAAGTAATCTCTTGTCTTTTTGCAATGGCAGAAAAAAAGCACGTTCTGTGATACAAGAAGGACAAATTGCCTGTGGAAGCCAGAATTTATGTCCTCATGAGAGACATTCCAAGGAGTCAGATGTACAATTTTGAAAGCTGCTTTCAGACCACAACTCCACAGATCCTCCAGTGAGGATGTTCTCACAGACTGGTCCACAAAGGACTCCCCTTTAGCAGTGCTGCCTCTCCTGAACAACACTCCCCTTCCAGCAGCTGGAGCTCAGGACCAGCCTCTCTGCTCACCTGATGCACTGGTAGAGGGTGCTCAGTTCTGCAACCAGCTCCGATGCCCCTTTGTTCTCATTGCAACACAGGTTGTGAACAGTTTCAATGGCTTTTGAAGTTGACTTGAGTTCATCCTTGTTTATGCTGACCCTCTTGTTCTGGAAAATTGCAAAGATGGAATGCAATGAATATACAGGATATCTGTGGTTATTTAAGGAAAGGAACTGTAACCTGTGATAAGCCTAAGATCATGTTTCTCAAAATCTAGACTCAAATGCAAGTTTTGGAAGAACTATTTATCAATGAGCTGAAGTTCAGAGATGTTTCCTCTACTTAGTTCCCTAAGAATTACTTTATCCACTTCATAGAATTAAATTCCTCTTCCTCTGAGAAAGCACGTACAGTTCTAATAGCACGGAACTGCTGCTGATAATCTTTGGGGGGAGGCAGGGGAACAGAGCAAAAATAGTCAGTGCACTCAGACTTTTATAGTACTATTGGATCATCAGGATCTGCATTTTTTGGTAATTTCCGCTGAAACCAGAAACATTTCGTATTAAAATAAGTAAATTCAACTGAATACATTGTTTTAAACTGAGCA